AACGACGGCTTCGCTGAAGAAGTGCTTGGACGAGATCCTGATCCTTCGGGCATGGCGGGAGAGGCTGCTGCTGCCAACTGGTTGATCAATAGTTCGTATTGGTCCCGCGTCATCTGCACGACCTCGCTGGTCGGGTCCGGGGCAGTAGTCGGGTCATGCCCCTCCATGATCGAATCGATTGAATATCAGAGAATAGTCGAATTAGCTGGATCGACCGCTTCCTAGGTTGACTTAGAACCGGAATGGCAAGAGTATCGCCAAGCACGCCTTGTGGACAAAGCTCCGCCCCCTGACCTCGGCGTGCTTGGCTCCGCGCCAAAGCCATCCGCGAAATACAAAACAACACTTTTGCCTCCGATAACTACGGCAAAACCTCAGTTTTGTATTTCGCTATACGAACGCCGGAAAAAGTTAAAGCGCGAGGGGATTGTTGAAACGGATAAGCGCAAAGGCAAAGTCAAAATTGAGCGATTTACCACCGAAAGTGAATGAGGGAGAGTTTCCTACCAGGACTGGGCTTCCAGCCGGGAATATTTTCACAGCCTTGATCTCGGGGATCCAAGAGTCACCTTCTCGTAAATACGCGAAAAATAAATTAGAAGGCCAAAATGGAAATCCCAAAATGCCACTACTACCATGCCGCCTAGCCCAAAACAAAGTTTTTGCTATAAGATTTGGAGGAGGAACCCACCATATAAAGTTGCTTCTCCACCACATAGCTGCTTCTGCCGAAAAAGCGTCGGTCGCCACTGCTTCAGAGCAGGCCTCTCTGGAAATAAAGGACGGGCATTTCCTGCTAGATAGGCTAGCGAACAAGTCAATGTTGCAACTTCCCCAGTCTTTCTGCAATTGTGAACAAATTTCGTCGCTAATGCTCCAATCATCTAGGTTGATTACCCGGGAGGCCGAATCGGCTTCATTATTGAATGCTCGGGCAATCCAAGAAAACTCGATGGTGAGTTGAAACTGCGCACAAAAATCCCATATCTCTTTGGCCAAGTTTTGTAAATGTGGTCTTGTGGTACCCTTTTTGAGAATAGCAACTGCTGCCTGGTTATCGCAGTGCCACACTAGCTGCTCCCTAATGATGTGTTCGCGGAACGATCTCAGCCCAAATAAGATGGCGTAAAGTTCTCTAGCGGTACTAGAAGTCCCTACTAAATTGTGTGGTAAATTCCCAGAAGATGTCAACTTTATGCCCACGTCTAAGTGTAAAACGGCGCCTACCCCAAGTTCTGATGCGTCTGAAAAGGCTCTCAGCGCGTTGGAAAGCTGCGAAATATTGGATAAGGGCGCGCCTTTGAAATCGACATCGAAATCTAACCAACCTTGCACTTCTGCTCTCTCTTGAGAGGAAAGGGACCATCGGAAAGATAGTGCCGTGCCGTCCTTCTCCCGCTGCGCCACCTGGGAAACCACCGCTTTCCACCTTCTCATCTTACCTGAAGGAATCACTAGATGCATTGAGGCCACTGTGCCTTGCCATCTCAATCTGTCTAAGAGAGATGGGCCCCTCGCCGCTAGCAGTCTCTCAGCCAACGCCCTGGCTCTCTTCCTTCTTTCGCAAGAGACGTTAAGAGTCGAAGATACTAGGTCGATGTCATGCCCCAGCCACGTCAGCCTCTGGCGCGGAATCCAGGCACATTTTTCTTCGGCTAAGGAAAAACCGGCACTAGCCAGATC